GGCCTGGGCGTTGTTCCTGAGCTCTTTTGTTCAAGGCTACCACTTGAACTGCAGCTCCACTTCTGGCTTTTTGCTGGGTCATTGGAGCTAACGACTCAAGAACTTTCCTGCCCAGGCTGGTTTTGAACCAGGATCCTGAGACCTTAGCCTCCTGAGCAGCTAGGATGACAGGTGTGAGTCCCTGGCCCCTGGCCTCCTATTTTCTCCAAGTATCCTCAGTTCATCCCAGTCAGCTGCGAGGGTGAAGGGGAAGTTCCTCCACGCCATCAGAAGCAGAAAGAGAGACACAGAAGCCAACATGAAAATACCTCATGGTCCCTTGGCCGAGGTGTCCTGTCCACCATGCTGGCATCCCATGCCCACCCTGGCACCCCTGTTCTGTGCCCCAGGGAGTCAGTAGCACAGGCAGGAACCCTTCTCCTTCCTTTTCTGACTTCCGCTTGGGTCTAGGTCAGGCGGAGGTCCTGGATTACTTCTAGTTGCCATAGGTACAGCGCTCCTCTGCCCAAAGCCAACTTCCTGCTTGTTTGAACCTCCCAGCCTGCATCTGGAGCCTGCCCTCACCGTGCCTGCTCTGGCCAACCCAAGGCCAGGGTCACATCTCTGAGCCACAGTGGGCACAGTGCTCTGTGAGGGTCTTGGCTTGCCTGCTGTGCATGGGCCCGGGAGGAGAGGGGACCTGGGAAGCAGCTTGGCCAGGGAGAGGTGGCCCAGGGCTTGTTGGGAGGAGCCTGTCACCTCCTTAGCACACGAGGTTGTCATAGAGATGTCCCAGGTGGTTCCAGCCAGATCATTTCTAAGAGGGGCAACAGGGATGAGTGCTTACATGTTGTTTTGTGAAGTAGAGTATAGACTCTGAGAGTTAATATCAGCAACTAAGTTTGGAATAAAAGAACCTGTTCAGGGCTGGGAAGGTGGCTCAGTGCTAGAGCACTTGCCTTGCATGCATGAGGCCCTGGGTTCGATTCCTCAGCACCACATAAGCAAAAAGAAAAAAAAAAGCCAGAAGTGGTGCTGTGGCTCAAGTGGTAGAGCGCTGGCCTTGAGCTGAAGAGCTGAGGGACAGTGCCCAGGCCCAGAGTTCAGGCCCCACGACCGGACCCCAAAAAATAAAAGAACCTGTTCGCCACTAGCTCTTGACTACTATGTAAAACTCAGTAGTACTCGGCAAATTAAACCTGCAAAGCAATGCATCTTGTGGAGTTAACTGTGAAGCAAATTCAGACATTGCTGCCAGAGGTGGTGATTCCTGTCAGTAATCCTCGCTATTCACCAGGCAGAGATCAGAAGGATCATGGTTCAGACAGGGAAAAAGTTTGGGATACCCTCTCTCAACCAATAAAGGTTGGGCATGGTGGACAATCCTAGCTATGCACGAAGAATAAATAGGATCATAGTCCAAGATGGCCTGGAACTAGACATGAGACTCTTTGAAAAGTAACTAACGCAGAAAGTGCTGGGTAGTTGTGGTAGTTGCTTAAACGGTAAGTAGTGTGTCTGGTGAGCATATGGCCTGAGTTCAATACTAGCAAAGAGAAAAAAAAATCTGGCATTCGAGCCAGATGTTAGTTGCTCACAACTGTAATCCTAGCTACTCAGGAGGCTGAGATCTGAGGATCATGGTTCAAAGCCAGCCTGGGCAGAAAAGTCTGTGAGACTCTTATTTCCAATAAACCAATAGAAAACCAGAAGTGACTCTGTGGCTCAAGCGATAGAACGCTCGTCTTGAGCTGAAGAGCTGAGGGACAACACGCAGGCCCAGAGTTCGGCCCCACAACCAACACCCGCCCACCCCCCAAAAAAAATCTGGCATTGGGGAAAGATGGAAGTTTGTCTGTCCATGTTTCACATGCAGCTCACTCACATCAGTAATGAAGTGTTCTTCCCCCCAAAAAACCCCAGCCACTCACTCTGCATTCCTCTGCCTCCTCTAGTCATCCACACCTGTTCTGAGACAAGGCCACGCCCAACCCAAACCCTCCAACTCTTCATGCTGTGTCATAAGCTTAGGGAGACTGGGTTGTTCATTCCCCTACCAGGTGCTTGTAGGCTCAACTACTCCAGGAGGGTGAGGTAGAAGGGTTCTGTGAGCTCAGGAGCTAGAGGCCAAGCGGAGGCAACAGAGTGAGACTGTCTCAAAATGAAAACAAACAGCCAGGTGCTGGTGGCTCACACCTATAATCCTAGCTACTCAGGAGGCTGAGATCTGAGGACCACAGTTTGAAGCCACCCCGGACAGGAAGTCCTTGAGACTCATATTGCCAATAAACCATCAGAAAAAAGACAGGAAGTGGCACTGTGGCTCAAGTGGTAGAGTTCTGGCCTTGAGCTGAAGAGCTGAGGAGCAGTGCTCAGGCCCAGGGTTCAAGCCCCACTGGTTCAAGCAACCGGTGAGACTTGGAGACAAGGGTGACCTGTTCAGGCGACAGACCAGGGGCCCTTGACCACTGTCCACTTCCTGCCTGGACCCGGCCGCTCTGGGCTGCTTCTTGTGTCTTCTGTGGCTTTTTTGGTGAAGGGTGTGGGGGTGAGCTACACCCTTTAGCCTTCACCCTGGAAAACTCCCGCCTGCCCTGTGCCCTCTGAATGGGGACTGAGCATCACAGTCAACACCTGTGGGTGGTTTACACTGGACCCCAGGCTGAGTGACCTAGGAGGTGAGGGCTAACCCTGAACCTCAGACACATTTTCTGCATTAACAGGAATTATGGCCTGCATAGCAAGTGCCCCCGCCGCCCCCCCCCCCCCGGGCTCCTGTGTTGAATGAAGCCTTGGATCTAATCATTGAGAGGGGGACTCTGACCTCATCACTAGAGCAATCCAGAGATGGATTCAGAATTCCATGGCCTTGTTGGAGGAGGGTGTGGAAACAGGAAGTGGTCCACTAGGCCCGCCTACTCCAATGCTCTGCTGCAGGCCCAGGGGCAGGAGTCCAGTACAGCCCCTTGACAGCCCAAAGAAGTCTCCCTCCCAGAAGGCCATTTTCTGGTAGTTTTGTCTGAGACCAAAGGCTGCCCACACAGCAGTGGAGGGGCTGGAGGACACAGGCTTCAAATGGCTAGTTCTCCACCCAAGCTTTTGTTAATGTCACTCTGATTTGCCAAGAAGGGAAGGGAGAAAGAGAGGGAGGGAAGAGAGAGAAGGAGAGAGATGAGGAAGGATAAAAAGAAAAGGGAAAGAAGAATAGACAGAAGGAAGAAAGGAGGGAGGGAGAGAAATGAATCACTTTGTAAACAGAAGGCAACTAAAGTCAGTGGAGAATAAATGAGAGGGTGCTGCTGTTGCCTGTGGGCCTGGCTGCTGTCCGCCAGCCCGCCCTCCCTCCCGCTTTCGCTGGCTGGTCCCATCCCGGCTGGGCTGACAGTAGTGACAGTGCTGGAGCTCTGGGCTTGGGGCCCATCGCCCTTTGGCACCCGCACCGGCTCTGAGTCACAGAAACGGCCCCAGCCCCGGCCCGCACAGCTGCGAGTCATTTGAAAATTTTATGAGGAAAACTACCCATTACAGACGTATGCATTATATATTAACGGACCGTCTACAATTACATTGCCAACAGACCCTTTTGTTATACTTAGGTTTTTCCTAATGACATACTAACTCCAACACTAAATTCGAAAATGGAAAACTCTAAGTATGTAGTAACGCTTCATTGTCAAATCTCTCAGTGATAACAATCGGCATTCAGCGGAGGGGGAGGCGAGGTGGAAAACCCCAGCTGAATGCGTGAGAGCGCGAATCATTCTGCCTGCTTGCAGATGAGCTGAGTGAGCAACTGTGTATGGATCGGGTGAGACAGTGCCGGGTCTTTCCTGGGGCTCAGCTGCAAGTGAAAAGGGAGGAAGGTTAGGACTACAGGCAGGAGACCAGCCACTGCTGAGGGCTTGGGCCTGCCGGACAGCAGGGCTGCACTACCCAGCCTATTTGCGGTGGCAGCTGGGGCACAGCCCCTCTCCAGCCCCTCGCAGATACCCAGGGCTAGGGCCAGCCTAGAGGAAGCTTTCTTCCTTCCCTTCCTTTCTCTCTTCTTTCTTGACAGGATCTCATTATGTAACCCAGGCTGGCCTTGATCTCCCCATCCTCCTGCTTCAGCCTCCCAAGCATGGAGATTACGAGCATGTGCCACTACACCTGGTGAAGATGTATACTTCTTAACTGGAGCCCAAATGGTGCACCTTGCAGGGCAGCTGGCAGCGTAGGCCCCAGCAGCTGAGGGCCTGTGCCTTCCTCTCTCCTGATGCCTGCTCTGTGAGCAAACCCCTCGGCAGCAAGGGGCCTCTCCCATTACACAACTTGGCAGGGTGCCCAGCGTGGGCTAGGGCCCAGTTGTTCTCCAGCTCCGTAGAAGACTGGCTAGTTTGTAAGGGGAGGTTTATTGTGGCCCAGGGTTTCGGGGCTGGGAAGTCCAAGGCTGCCAAGGCCCCCAGTGAGCACAGATGGGGTGGATCTTGCAGTCATGTCTAAGGGTCAGTGTTTTGTCTCCCAGGTGGTGCCTGGCCCTGGGGATTGCCACCTGAGGACTGCCTGCTACCCAAAGGTGAGAGGTCGAAGGAGCTTCCTCCTTCAACCCAGGCCCCTGAACCACCACACCTGCTCCCTGTCTACGTGGAGTCAAAGCTACTTCCGACTGCACTGGCCACCTCCCTGAGCATGTCAGCGCAGCCCTCTGATCCCAGGGGCTAATGGCAGGACGAGTCTGAGTTCTGTCCTACTGAAAACTCCCCAAGTCCCATCAAACACTTGAACAAATGACAGTAGCTCCAACAGCACTCCCACTCCCAATTTATCAACAACTACAAGTTCCCTGATGTTAATCTGTTCTACACTACTGGCTCTGCACAGTAAGAACGCATGGGCATTCCCTCATTGCACGCATCTGTCCACTGGCCGCAGCACACACTTGGTATTCTAAATGTATCCTACCCTCAGATAAATAATCAGCAGGTCCTGCTGGTCGTGGCCTGCTGGACCCTGTCAGAGGGAACTGAGGCCGCACGCTCAGCTTGGTGCCTGAGTGATTTTATTGGGGCGGGTAAGCTGCGATGGTGACATGGCTTGGTGGCAGGACCTTAGTGCTCAGTGCCGAGGGGACTCTCGTCCAGAAGAGGGCTGAGGCAGCCTGAACTTGGAGAGGTCCAGGTTGACATCCAGGAAGGTGTATGCGTTGTAGTTGTGGTGCTGGAGGTTCCTGTAGATGGCGTTGTCAAACGGCCTGGAGGGCACCGGGGCCTGGACGGGTTTTGCCTGCTTGGGCTCTGCCTGCGTGGGCTTTGCCTGCACGGGCTCTGTAGAAGGAAGAACAGGAAGGTGAGACCTTCCCCACACCGGTCCTTGTCTCCTAGTGATCTCCATGAAGCCTGCCTGTGGTGAATGGGCTGTCTAATCAGAAAAGAAAGCCCACAAAGGCACAGTATCCTCAAAAGCAAAAGTAAAGGCATTAGTTGAAAAGAACATTGTGAAGTTTATGGCCTTGACGAGTAAGTTATGACATAGCGTGTGGAGGCGTGGCTGTACCTGTGATGCACGCCTCTCCCTCACCTCAGCTGACACCGAGTACCTGCAGGAGATGGGCAAGACAACTGTGTGGCTTTCTCTCATCTCCACTAAACTACTCAAAAAAGCCAGAAGTGGTGCTGTGGCTAAAGTGGTAGAGTACTAGTCTTGAGCACAAGAGACAGCACAGAGATAGCACCCAGGCCCTGAGTGCAAGCCCCAGGACTGGCAAAAAACAAACAATGTCTCAGAGCTGACATCTTTTCAACCTCCCATGTGGCGTACACCTTCAGAGTGGGGTATGCTGTGATATGTAACAGAGGGGAGATGTGGGTTACAAACTCCTAACAACAAGCGGTCCAGAAGCAGGTGCTGGTGGCTCACGCCTGTAAATCCCAGCTCCCTCCTGAGGGAGGCTGAGCTTTGAGGAAAATGGTTCAAAGCCAGCCAGGGCAGAAAAATCTGTGAGACTCTTATCTCCAATTACCAGCAAAGAACTGGAAGTGTGGCTCAAGTGGTTAGCCTTGAGCAAAAAAGCCAAGGAAATGGATGAGGCAGAGTTTTAGCTCCAGAATCAGCAACAAACACAGAAACAAGAGCAATCCAACAGCAAGCCTGCACAGAGAGCCCCTACCAGAGGGGTGTACTCCTGGGCAGCCTTTGGGGCAAAGAAAATATTTAAGGTTGAGGGAGGGAAGATCTTTTACTTACTTTTTAATTTGCTGTTTTAGAATAGAACCTAGGGCCTTGCTCATGTTGGCCAAAAACCTAATATTAACAAAGCTACACTCCAGCCCTGACATTTCTTTCTTCAAAACAGTGTCAGAAAGGCAGGTCCTGAGGTCTGGCAAGCGCTGGGTCTGCATATTAATGAAAGAGGGAGAAAATAGAAAAGGAAGGAAACACATAAATCCTGTCAACATCCTGCAACCAGAAACAATTATGCACCAGGTGATACAAATTAAGACAGGCAAGCTGTAAAGAGAAGAATGAAAACTGCAGCCAGAGGAGGAAGGCCTGGTTAGCGATGATACATTTTAAAGAAGGCCTAGGAGACGCAGAAGCTAAGATGGAAGCATTCCTGCTAGTGGCCACCCAGCAGCCACCACTGCAGCAAGTCTGCGCTCAAGGAAAAGTAGCATGAGAGGATACAATGTTGCTGGGTGGTACTGGGCCCCAAAAAGACTCGTGCAGTCCACAGCTGCCTTGGTGGGCAGCTTCCTGCTTCAGGTCCTAACTTGCGAATCCCCCTCCCCACTGTGCTTTCGACCTCTGTGAGCCACACCTGAGGCTCTCCTCACCCGGATGCCCAGCACATTAGTGAAATGAACACTTGCTAAAGCTGCCAGTTTCCAAAAACTACACTGGCTAGATAGCAGTTCAGAGTGCAAGGGCTTGCTCTACTACTTTGACAGAAATATAGACTAACCTGGGACTTTGTGTGCACAGAGGAGTGTTGTTGATAATTACCACAGACCTCTCTGTCCAGCCAGGACAGTGTTACAGGCCACCTTTCAATTTCACAATGGGATTAACCATAAAGATTCTAAGTGCATAGAAATGCAAAGTGGCTCTTTAGCATCTGGCCACCCCAAGGGATGGCAAAGAGTACCCTGTGCCGCGCCTTCGTCTTCCGTGGGTGGGGCTGCGCCGACCATCTCCTGAGGACCCCCCTTCAGCTTGGGAACTGCTGGCTTTTCGTTGAAGACCGCCTTCTGGACAGGAACTGCATTCCAGCTGGCTGCTGGGACCTGAGCATCCCCCATCTTGTCCTTGGCCACCAAGAGTCCAGTTTCCAGCTTTCCTGCATTTTCTTCTCTGGCCAGGAGAGGCGCTGCCTCCCTCCCTGGCTCTGTCTCTTTGGGTTCCAGCTGTCTGCTTTGGGCTCCTGAGACAGTGGTTGGCAGCTGCCTTCTGGGCCCAGCCTCTTCTATCTGTGATGTGGGTTCAGGGCTGAGCCCTGCAGACAGCCTGCCTTGCATGTGGTCAGCTGAGATTTCTTTGACTTCTCGTGGGTTTTGGCTTGCTTTCTCTGTCTCATTCAATTTGAATCTTTTTTGTAACTGTTCTTCCTTTAGATTTTGTTTCAAAACTTCTTTCTCAGCTTGTGGCCTGGGCATCACAGGCGTGGGTCTGGCTCCTTTCTTCCTTGGCTGCGGAGGCTGCTCTGGGTAGGTGACATCTGATTGTGGCCTCTGTGCCTCAGTTTCCTCTTTGGCTGATCCCGAGATTTCAGGGGCTCTGTTCTTAGAGGAGCCGGATGCTTCTGGTTTGGGGAACCCTTTCTTGCTTTTGCTCACCACTTGTGGAGCAGCTTCTGAGCTGAGCCCCTCCTCATCGGACTCAGAATCAGAGGAGCTGGATGAGGATGAGGACGAGTCTGAGTCAGAACCCTGCTCTCGGGGTGGAGAGGGGACTTTCTGAGGAAATTCTACCAAGGTCTTTCTTGAGAGAGGTCTTGGAAGCCCTTCATCTGTGAGCCGCATGCTGCCACCAAGGCAGGAGCCGGGTGCTACCTGGCCTTTGTTCCCACCCGTGGGGGGGGACCCCGGTGGAGACAAAGGTGCAGCCAGCACGGCGGCTGGCTGGCTGGTTAGTGGCTGGCCCCTCTCCTTTGCTTGTACTACATCTAGGAAATGGCATAAAGAGGAATCATAGTTTTAATATTTAATTCAACAGTCACTGAGTCAGTGTCATAGACATTAAATCGCAATATATCATTTACATGTCCTCAGTGTGACCAACTCAAGACCCAAGTGGGTCCAGGAAGCCACTCTCCAGCGAGCACGTGCGCACCACCGTGGGCAAGGTGCCCGTGCTGGGTGGCAGCAAGGAGAGGAGATGCTTTCCTTCCTCCGCAGCAGAAAACTACGCAGATGGGAGCTGCCAGCCTCACAATTCACCTCCAGAGTCACTCTGATGGCTTCCCTGATGGTGGTTATTTTTAAGCTACGTCACCCAATTGAAGACAAACTATAAGATATTTTCAGATGACTATTAAGGTCTTACAAATTTATAATTTCTTTATTCACTAAAATCCCCCAAGTATTTGTGCTTTGCAAAGATTTAAAAAGTTCAGAAGTTCAACTTTCTGAAGAAAAACAGCAAAAATATAGATGAAATTGTGGTTTGAGTTTAGGTGTGTGCACACATATAGCAGATAGTAGGGATTTGGGGGAGGGACTAAGCAAAATTGCCCTAAAAAAGTCCTTCAAGCCTGGCCCTGAGGACCCATGCTTGTAACCTGAGCTATTTAGGGGTCTGAGATTTCAGGATTGTGGTATAAAGTCTGCCTGTGCAGAAAAGTCCAAAAGACTATCTCCAATTAACCAGCACAAAAGGGGCACTAGAGGTGTGGCTCAAGTGGTAGAGCACCCGCCACAGAGTAAAAAGGGTTGTAGATGGATAGAAGAGGTAAGGCAAGCCCTGATACCAGCATACACAGAAAAAATTCCTTCAAAAGACTTTTTTCAAGTCATTTGAATTTCTTGAGTCAAGAAAATGAGTTTCACAATATTAAAAGGGCCTGATATAATTGAACATCAACCATTTCACTGGAAACACATTTTAAACTATAAAATAATTAGGGTAAGTTCAAATATGTCTGTCATGCTGTGTGCTAGTAGCTAATGCCTATAATCTTAGCTACTTAAGAGGCTAAGATCTGAGGATCATGGTTCAAAGCTAGCCCAAGTAGGAAAGTCTGTGAGATTCTTATCTCCAACTAAACCACCAAAAAGCTGGAAGTGGAGCCGTGGCTCAAGTGGTAGAATGCTAGCCCTGAGCACAAAAGTTCAGGGACAATGTATAAGCCTTGAGGCAAAATAAGCTGAGAGACAATGCCCAGGTTCTTGGGTACACACGCACACATATCTCTCTCCTTTTCCTTTCACTGGGAGAGAAGTATCTTCCCACACATGCTTTTTTTTTTGTTAGTCATGGGCCTGAACTCTGAGTCTGGGCACAGTCCCTCAGCTTTTTGGCTCAAGGCTAGTGCTCTACCACTTGAGTCACAGCGCCACTTCTGGCTTTTTCTGCTTATGTGGTGCTGAGGAATCCAACCTAGGACCTCATGCACGTGAGGTAAGTACTCTTCCACTGAGTCACCTTCCCAGCCCCAGGCTTTAAGTGTTTGCTGAGCTTGGGAACCCATGATCAATTGACAGAATATAATGGAAGAAAAGTCAGGAATAGAAACAGGCCAGAGAGTGAGTGAGTGGGCACAGTGAGTGGATGAGTCAGAGGAAACCGCCCTAGCTCCCCAGCATTAAGGAGGGCTTGTTTTAGTTTTGGTTCTGGCCAAAGGAATCTACACTCAGAGCAGGGATTGATACAGGAGACCCTCAGTGGCACATGTTGGATAGAAAAACAGGGAATTGGGTGGCACTGTTAGCCTCTGCTCTCTGAACTACAGCTGGACAGCACAGAAACTCCTCCCAGCCAGAAGTGACTTGCTGGGCTTCAAATCCTGCTAGGAGGCGGCTTGCGCCTGTCATCCCAGCTACTCAGGAGGCTGAGAGCTGAGGATCGTGGTTCAAAGCCAGCCTGGGCAGGAAAGGACGTGAAACTCTTATCTCCAATAAACCACCAGAAAACTGGAAATGGCACTGTGGCTCAAGTGGTAGAGCACTCACCTTGAGCTAAAGACCTGAGGGACAGCGCCCACGCCCAGAGTTCAAGCCCCATGAAGGGAGAGGGGGGAAATCTGGCTGGGCCCACTTATTTGAGTCTGAATTTTCCAAGTATTAAAAACAAGGCTGGGGGCTGGGAAGGTGGCTCAGTGATAGAGCACTTGCCTTGCATGCATGAGGCCCTGGGTTCGATTCCTCAGCACCACATAAGCAAAAAGAAAAAAAGCCGGAAGTGGCGCTGTGGTTCA